CATGTGTAGAAGGTAAATATATAGAGATAAGATAGAACGAACAAGTTCTCAGTATAAACGCAGTTGCTAAAATTTTGAACAGATGGCCCTATCGGAAAAAAAAACAAATGGTGGGCATGGTGTAAACCACCACCCACCATTATAGTGGGTTAATGTAGTGGGTGAATGGTGTGAAACGCCCACCATGGCGCATGGTGGGTATGGTGGGTGCTGCAGTGCCGTCAACGCTTGAACGCGAAATGACGTCAGAATCACAGTGACGAGCTGCCACAAAAAATAAAAAGAATTCTATAAAAACGGTATAAAAAAACACCCGTCCCGTAAAAAAAAAACAAGACGCCACGGGGGATCGAACGTGCATCCTGTGGTTTCCCATTCGAAGACACTAGCCACTGCGCCATACCAACATTTTTTTTTTTCTTTAATGAATGACATTATCACCAGTAAAGTACACAGAACATACTTCATCAGAAGTCAGGCAAACACACACAAGCGTCAAGAACGGGAAGTCACTCCGGAACGGGGTCAAAAGTCTCGACAACACTGCGCACTTGAGCAGCTGCTTCTCGGAAGACAGATCTCGTCGACCGTGGTGGCTCGGCGTGTCTATCGATCATGCCAACATGAACGTTTATTGTGTGTTAAACATGAACATAACGTTTATTGTGTGTTAAATACTTAGTTGGCATACAAACTTACGGTTCAAGTTAAGTTATGTTTGTCGTGTACACAACATAGACAAGATCTACACCTGCTACTAAAAATTGCACATTTATTAAACACAAGCAACTGCGGCCTGTAACGATTGCCACTGTGTTAATGGCACTAGTGCTATTTTTTTTACAATTCACAACTTCAAGAAAAAAACCAAGTGGACTGGGGAGCAGCAACAGTTTACCGCCGGGGTCTGCCAAGTTTAATATCCGTTTCGCGCTTGTTCTAAAGGGCGACATCTGCTCACGCTTTATGACGCTTCTAGGCTCATTCCATAGATACGCCCACCTAATTTATTTGATTGAGTATTGGGATGCTTTTCGCGCAATGTAGAGGGCGGTCGTGCCAGCGCAATGCTGTAACTCTTTCGCTAAAGCAACAACTACATAACGGCTTGGCCAAAACGAATGCAGTGTGCCGGAAACATTACGCTATCATATTGGTTCACCAAGCATACGAATCGCCACTTCTGAGTTCTCGTACAAAAGCTAGACAAGTGCCGGCGAGTGCGACCGGCGGTTGTCAGTGAGAAGACACGTTCTCTGGGAGTGCTTTAATCGCGTCGCATCCATGTTTGTTGCTTCTTGAGTGGACACCATACACAATGAAAAATGCTTCATTTAGGTTATTTGATGCCATGGCTGCGCTGTGTCGTCATACTTAATCGTCGAAATCGTGTATTCTGAAACCCGGAAGCACGGATAGCACGATTGTACGGGCTCGGTCGGTAGGCCTAACCTTTGGTGGAAATCATGGTGGTAGAACATATAGTGTACAGATCCCAGCTTGGTACACTATATAAATTGCCCGCGATTATAAGCCCACCCATCATCTGCTTACTGTTTCCCAGCATTATCGCGATGGTGGGCAGAGCTTCTCAGCTTGGTACACCATGTTGCCCACCATAACAAACAGCACCCATCATCTGCTTAGTGCTTCCCAGCATTATCGCAATGGTGGGAAAAGTTCCTCAGCTTGGTACACCATGTAGCCCACCATAATAAGCACCACCCACCACATGCTTAGGGCTTCCCAGCATTATCGCAATGGTGGGCAGAGTGTCCAATTATTGCCCACTATCTAGCCTCTGCTTTCCACCATCATTTCCACTTTACCCATCATCTGTACACCATACCACCGAGTATGTCCCGGCATATCCACCATATTTTCCACTACGTCCCACCATATCCATCATAATTTACACCATGCCCACTATTATTTCCACTACGCCCACCATGTTTTCCAGTATCCACCATGGCAATTTTTCCGATAGGGGGATGCTTGACGCTCCTGAATGTTTCCTACGCATGATTAATATGTGAGGTTTATCGTCCGAAAACCACAACATGATTATGATTGGCGCCTTAGTGGAGTGCTCCGAAAATTTCGACCACTTAGGGTTTTTTAACGTGCACCCAAAGCTGGGCACACGGGCCTACAGCATTTTCGCCTCCATTGAAAATGCAGCCGCCGCACCGTGGATTCGATGCCGCGGCCTGCGGTTCAACAGCCGAGTACCTTTGCTACTAAACCACCGCTCTGGGGCAATGTTTCTTACATAGATATATTCTAAATATAAACATAAAAATACTTAGGCGAGAAATACTGGCACTGCACCTTCTTAATGTCGTTTACTCGCGCTGCTCAGATTTACTGTATATCGAAGCATGTACCAAGCAAACCACCAGTGGATTCTATTTGCCTAGTCAGCTCCTCCCCCCCCCCCCCCCGCAGAAAAGAAAGCGTTAAGATATCGAGGTACGCTGATACCAATGGGTTGATATTGCCACATTCTATCCTTAAGTTTTGTTATCCCCTATTTTACTGTCAGTGATTCTCGGCCCAAACCGCCCCTGCAGTGTTCGAGAAGCTTCAAGACATCGGTAGATCACTTTGTTAAAATTACGCTCATGTCGTCAACATTGCAGATTATCCTGAAACGTACATCGCCGTACACAATAATGCTAGAATATTCGATGGCATGCGTATAAATGCCGACGCGACTCACCACTCATCAGTTTATAGACGGTCGACACTCTTTTTGCCGCTATCAGTGCCAGGGGCATCGCTGTAATCTGACCTTCAGTTCATGAGCACAAGTTCGGCTAAATAAACAGTTTACCTTGTAATTATGTTTGAGAGATTACCCTTGTAAGATTACCCTTGGAGATTACCCTTGTAATTACAGTTTGCTTCCTTTGTACACGTCACGACCCTCGTGACATGAACAAGGCACGGACACCCAGCGCTAGCTTCGGTTTCAAGAAACATGCACACTCGTATCGGTTGCCGGGCATCCAATGATCCGGTTGAACGGAGTGAGGTTGATGTGAATGCTACTATTTATGAACTTTCACAAGTTTTTGCAAGTAAAGAATGATACCTCTGTAAATCACTTCTCTTTTTTTTATATGCCTCTTCTTATTCCTTCTTTTGAAAATTTCAAGTCAGGAGAATCGCAGGAAGTGATTGACTTGCGTTCGTAGCGCTTGCCTCCGCTCTTTCTTGCCCCACGCTCAGCGATGTTAGAAGTTTGATCACACTCAGTCATCTCGCTCATTTGGCGTGTCAACTACGTGAATGGTAAACTACGTCAACTACGTGATAGGAAGTTGGGGCAAGCAGAGAACGAAAGCCGCAGTGAACTACGTCGGACAAGTCAACCTTGCATTCATCGAAGATTGCTTAATCGGGCAGCACAATTTTGGGCTAACCCAGGTGATTTAATTCCTCGAAGGTTTTTCAGCACCTCATAAAGGCAACGAATGAGCACAAGAATTTCGAACCATCATTTGAACAGATAATAATTTTGCATCAGTACATATGAATAAACGTAGTTCTCTGCAAGCCTGACTAAACTGACAAAAGTGCAGTATCGGTCGAAAAATTGGTGAAGACGGCAGCCAAGCTTCTGTCGGAAAAATTCATTATTAAAATGCTTAAGTCGAGTTGGCTCGGCTACATAACTTTAGGTCCCTTTACTTTTGGTGTGTAGTTCAAATGATGTCAAGTAATTATAGGTTGTTTCCTGCTCATGAAGTTCTTGTAGCAGCGGTTTGAAAATTTGGCAGTCTTTGCTTCTAATGGTGTGATTCAAGTACAGGTAATAGAGTAAATGCTTGTAAAATTTATTACAGAGAATGTCGTTGAGCGAGCATTTTGACAAGCGAGATTTTCTTCGTCAAAGCAACGCTGGTGCACTGACGAGGACAAGTCATAGTGCCAAAACACTGTTTTCAGCGACGTTCTTTCTGGAAAAGTTTATGATCGCTTTAAGCCTCTCTGTGCCTCTGAACTTCAGTTTCGTTTCGTACTCAAGTTCTGTAAGAAAACTATGCCCGTCGTCATAACAAACGTAATTGAGTCAAATGCAACGTGTTCTACTCGTAATTGTTGATAATATTTGCATTGGTTCTGATATTCTAGATTCAAAATTTGCTCATTGTGTCAGTACGTCACTTGTAAGTTGAGGCTGTTTTTATATATAGACACTTTCACACCTGGTGTATGTCCGTTTTTTATACAAAACGTGCAACAAAAAAGTTAATTTAATTTGTGCCGATCAACTTTCGTCTTACTGATAAATCAGTCAGCTTAGTTTTGGCCTCTTCAGATGAAAAGAACAAAATTAAAAATAAAAGATTTACAATATTGTAGAAATAGACGCATCGCCCAAGAGGCCAACGGACCTGAAAGAAGGAACGAGCACATTCGCTTGCACGCGAAGTGGGGAATGAGGGCTTCCGCGGCAACCCTCCTGCTCTCAATTTTTTGTCTTTTCCCTCTACTTCTGGACGTCACCAGTGACGTCATGACGACAATTTTTGTTCTCAATTTATTTTTAGTACTATGCCCGGCAACCACCAGTGTAAAATCGGCGCTGCCGTAGCCGAGAGACAATACATGAGAAGTGTAGGGAGTTCCTGCTCCCTGACAATATGCTCAAGGACCTTTAAGTTGTGACCTTGAGCATCTTTCAAAAATGCATATCATGCTGATATGCTTGGAGTTCAAGTAAAACATTTTTACAAAACAGCTGTCAGACAGCCTTTCACAGAAGTTGCCTCTACGATTGCCTTTCCACAGCGCACTGAGAGCAGATGTGCCAGATAAGTTCTATTGTTTTGAGCGGTCTCACACTCTTCTCAATTCAGACTGTATGCATGGCCCATGGCAGCCGTACCTTGCAACGCATGCCTGCAAAGCACCTTTTCATAGCACGGGATATCCTTATTTGTATATTTGAGCCGAGTCCCTGAATAACCACTGTAAAGCGAGGGCACACACAAATTGTTGAAAGATTTAATGGTAGTTTGAAGATCACGCTACTTCCTCTGAATATGATTGGTGATTGTCCGAATGTGTGGCTATACAAGTAATTTAAAAAAAGTTAAGGGCTACCAAGCTCAGCAGAGATGTCACGATGACTGCCGTAGCAGCTTGCGTGGTGGGAGTACCGTTTGGCTTGTCAGACAGCCTGTAGAGGTCAATTATGGCTTCGGTTATTTTCTGAAGATGTGAGATGGCGGCAGCGTTCTTCTTGGCATCGCATGTTTTCACTGCCTTCTCGACGCAGACCTTCAAGTTCTGTGCCACCCTGTTGGTAAACACGTGCATAAAAAGAAGTTTAACACAAGGGTGATAGGCAAAACCAACATGTAAAGCTGTGGCACGTGTAAGTGAACTAATTAATTCACCTTGATAAAGCAGTGCGGCAAGAAACAAGGCAAGTAAAATTTCACACATTATCTGGTAATTCAACGCCTGTCATATGTCCTTCTTGCATTGTGCAAAACAGACAACCAGTGCCTATTATATTTCATTATTTTATATCTATTAAAATCAGTGCCCCTCAATGTACATATTTTTCCAACTCGTGTGGCCGCCATTTCAAAGCGCCCTTCCATCCGGTCTGAAAACTGCCTAACCTCTCGGTCCTTCCTCCTTTCTTCCTCCTCAAGGCGTAGTTGTTCAAGCTTTTAGTTGTTTCAAGTAACACAGACAACTAAGTTCCGCCTAGCACGTGCAGTTCAATAACTCTGCTGGCACGTACACTTTTTGTACTCTCTTCCTGATTTGTGGATTGACCAAACACATAGCATGTTTTTTTTTCTCGAAAAGATGTATTCAATAAAAAGCATGGCTATATAGTAAATTTGTCTGTATCGCCTAGTATGTGGTGGATAATAAGACTCGTAGGCACTGCACCCGATGTGCTAGAGCCAATAGACGTGCAAGGAAGGTGTCACGTTTATGTGTGTCTGTTCTGTAGAAAAGAAAAGAGGAGCCCACAACAAATAAATGGAAGACAAAAGAGATAAGTAAATATAGGGACATCGAAAGGTAAGATGAATAGATAGTGAAACAGGAAATACCTTGGCGATTAGGACCGTGTAATGAGGCTCTTCATTATTAGGATTGTGCTAATTAACATTACGCTGATTAAGACCATGTTTTGCTAGTAGTCTAACATTGTTCTACTTGCGCAAAGTACCCGCACTTTTTCCTCGCTGTTTTTACCATAAACGTGCAACACACGGAATTATGTAAGCTCGCTCAAAGCACCACTTCCACGTAGGCCTTTAGGGAGTGATTGTAACCTAGATTCCTCATAAGGAAAAACTATTTTATACTAACCTGTAATGCGAAAATGCTAGAGATATAGAACTTCGCTTTCCCTGCATCTTTCGCGCAGGTGAAAAGACAATAACTAGTTGTCAAGAATGCCTGCTGCAAATTGATGGGAACCTAGGTATGAGCCCAGTCAAATAGAATGCTCAGTAAGCTTGATATAACAATCACATGCTTCTCTAAATGCCTTTCTTGAAAGATGTGTTGGTAAGGGTTATCGTAATTGCAGCCACATATTATTAAGGCATAAGGAGTGAAGGTTAGACAGCTTTAAAATAATGACGGCCATTGTAAGGCAACTCCTCAGAGGCGCAACTCTCACCCCCATATCCCGTATAAAAGTGAGTTATGCAAGGGTGCAACAGGTGAAACAGAATTTGGACGAATCTTCAAAGCAGCAAAATCTTACTTTTGGAGCAATAAAATACAAATTCAGAGCAGTTTATGGGGAAAACTTTTATTTTATCTCGAAAAACCAAGTTTTGAGCACTACAGAAAACAAGGCTTATATTTGGAGAAACTTTTTGTGAAAACCATTTAACATCGCCTGAATCGTGCTGAGCTAACATAAAAATAAAAGCAATTAACAATATTTAACAATAAAAACAGTATTCCGAACCACCCCAATGAGCAAGCAATGATCAGGTTCCCATTATTATTAGCCGCGTACAGACTTTGTGATATCAAATATTGATATACCTAGCTGTGGCAATCTTGAAGTCTTGGCGATTCGTGAAACTTGGTGGTAGGGGTGGCCAACAAAACTGCCTCACAGTTTTTTAAGGCTTATAATGTCACCCACTGCTCCAAAGAGTTTTCAGTAACTTTTTCAGACGTGGGAATTTATACTAGTGCTCACAAATATGCCGCCTATAGACGCATGAGTCATTGAATACAATGGGATGTGTCTTTGAGCAGTGCAAGTAGCCCTTTACAAATATTAGTACGTTTTTTGTAGGTCACCAATGTAGTGCGGCTAAAATAGCTTAAGCAGTGTTCTGCACGGGTTAGAACAAGACCAAAAAAATTTCGAACATCACGAAGATACCCCCCACCCTCCGCTTTTTTCTCGATGTGGTTAGGTTCAGTGCACAAGCTCTCAGCTTACTTGCAAGGTGCGTTTTACCAGGCAAAGTAACAACGGCGCGCGCCTGTTGGTCCGGAAACCACAACAGATAATTATTCTCAGAACGATGCAACTAACGCAACTTCTGATAATTATTGACGTTTTAAGTCTCAAAATCACCATATGAATATGTGGGACGCCGTAGATGACAGCTCCAGAAATTCGAACTTCTTGGCTTTCTTTACCATGCAGTTAAATTGAATCTAAACATGCGGGCCTCAAGCATTTCAGCCTCTATCGAAAATTCAGCTGCTGTGCCCGGGATTCCGTTTCATGACCTCCGGGTCAGCAGCTGAGTGCCTGAGCTACTCGGCTACCTCAGTGGGACACCAATGCAAGTTCATGACGTAAAAATGTCATATTTTCAGTTGCTATGGCAACGAGCATCTGTTCAGCATTGTCTCTTTTTGCTCGTGCAAAACTGGGCATGTGCGTTCATCTCTAGTTGGTAAATGTCATAGCCGTATTTGCAGACTATGCATTTCATGTTACCCGTGAAGGATTGGCGGCTATGGCCATGGATTTTTCTCTTGCAGTTGCAACATCTCGTAGGTTGACATCCGCTGCCGCAAATGGACCAATGGGAGCACGGCTCCGCTACAATATCTGGTCGATCACTTCTCTGCAAGTGCCCTGACCCCGTGAAGATATTTCTTACACCTTGCTTTAGGTTTGGGTCTGCGTACTTGGATTTGTTAATGACGCAAACTGCAGGTTGGCAACATGGCCTTCATTCAACGCAGTTTTCAAATCACCGCAACTAAGAAAATTTTGAGGCTTCAATCGGGCATTTTGGTGCAGCGTGGCGCAATTTCAGCAAATTTTATGGCTTTAGCACAGCTTGGCGCGAAAATGGGGAACAAGATCAAATTGGCACAAAAGGCGCAGTGGTTGTATGATAGCTGCACTTCACGATGGTGCTGCCATGTTGATAATGATGCTGTTGTCACGTGACACGTTGACGTATAGACGAACTGCCAAGGAACGTCAGCAGTCCGAAATCCAAGCAAGTGTAAGCTCGGGTGAGGCGTGTATATCACCAACGCTATGGCCTGCCTTGCTTGCTGCTTCGTCGTCGCCTCGAATTGTTCCCTACGTTGATCCCCGGTGAAAAGCGCCGCCATGCTGGCGACTTTAGGCGTAGCCACTGTAGCGTGGTCATAATATGGCTTCGGGCGACTAACATTTACAATTTCTCTACCACGACCACGTAACTCATCAGTCGGTGAAAAAAGCTCAATCTCATAATTGACTGGTGACGCACGGGCCAGAATGCGTTAGAGCCCTTGGTATGAGTCCAGTGATTCTGACGAAAGGCCAGGAGTACTCGGTAGAATCCAGAGCCAAACGAGGGCTGCAGTCGTGAAAGTAGGGAGAGGTCGGTCAGGGCTGGCCGTAGCTTCTGGTGGCTTTGGTCATTGGTTGTTAGTGAACGGGCCAATTGTCTGCAATCTGCGGCGTACCTGGCAGCATCAGAAATTGTGGTGTACTCAGAGGAGTCAGGCGTGTGGGGGATAGTGTCCAGCGTGCATGATGGATCACGTCCCTTCAGCAGAAACAAAGGGGAAAACCCTGTGGTCGTGTGGCTAGCGGCATTATACGCATACGTGACAAATGGAAGGACAGTGTCCCAATTAGTCAGGTCTGAAGCTGTGTACATTGTCAACATATCACCGAGAGTGCGATTAAATTGTTCTGTGAGACCATTCTTCTGTGGGTGATAAGCTGTCGTCATGCGACTTGGGTCCGAATGGCGTGTTGGAGGTCCGGAGCCAAAGCATGCGTGGGTTCATGTGTGAGTGGCAGGAGCGACAGCTGGCGCGCTACCTTTTCACTGACAAACTCCTTGACTGTCGAAAACAGAGGCTGCTGATCGGCAGGACGGGCAGGTATGTGCAAGCCCGCGAGTGGGTCTGGCATCGTGAGGGCTTGACGAGTAATCGCACGCTGCCTACGCAGCTCGTCGAAGCTCTGCAAAGGGAGACGAGCAAAACAAAACGATTGGGGGGGGGGGGGGGTCTCGCGAGCCACATCTGAAAGGCGCTGTCTTCGATACCTTTCAAAATGTGCCTAATCTTTTCTTCCTCAGGCATGGTAGAAGTGCCGCGGTTGCATAGATGCAACACATCTTCGGTGTAGCCCGTGTAGTTCTCGCCTGGTTGCTGCGTCCGTTGACGTGAACGCTGCTCGGCTTGAACTTGCGTGCTGCAGGTCGTCCAAAAACGTCCGTAAAAGCAGTCTTGAATGTAGACCACGTAGGGATGTCAGCTGTGTGGTTATTAAACCACAGTTTCGTGGTGTCGGCGAGGTAGAACGTGACGTATCCCAGCTTACTTGGGTCGTCCCCTTTGTTACTTGCGCCGACTTTGTCGTGCCTTGCCAACAATCTTCGACGTCCGATTCTGCGGAGCCGGTGAAGATAGGGGGATCTCGTTGAGAATACACTGTGCTGCAAGTGACATGGATGGCTGAAGGTTCTACCTGGAGAGGCGTCTTGGTGACCATGTTGGGGTGACGAAGATGGGGAAGCTTACGGGAGAGAAGATCCAGGTTCGTGCGCGAGCTCACACACTTTTAGCAGATGTCACGTTATTTGTTCACGCACAGACGAACTTAAAGGCTAAGGAACGTCAGAAGTCCGAAATACAAGCAAGTTCAAGCTCGGGTCACGCGTGTATATCACCAACGATGTGACTTGACTTGCTTGCTGCTTTGTCGTCGTCTCGCATTGTTCCCTACACTGTCTGTGATTTTGGGTTCAAGATTAGCCCAGGATACTATTGGCCAATACTTGCGAAATCGTCGAACGATACGTAAACTCGGGGATGGGCTACAAGCCGGACAGCTTTACCTGTCCGCATTCTGCCGCGAAGAAATTAACATCAGCACTCATCGAATTGTTTATACAGTGACGGTTGCATCGGACTTTTCTGTTCGTTACAAATAGCCAGACGCGGTTAGCCCGTCTCTCGCTCATGGTGCACCCACCATAAAAACGCTTCGTCTCAATGCCTTCAAATCTATAGGTAAGCTCGGTTTCCCACATGTACTGTGTGTGACGCTGCCTTGACTTCAAACTCCGTTGCATTCAGAACTTTACAGCAATGTAATGTTGACCCCTTGAACATATTTCATTGGCTACACTCACCGGTTCTGTTCATCAATCTGCTTCTCGAAGCTACCGGCATTCATTATGGTGTCACAGGTGCGAATCGCCTCGAGGTCCATGCATTGGGCAAGTTGCACCACGGCTGCAGATTAAAATGCACCAAAATATAAACTTTGCAATCCCGCTTTTAATGTTAAAGCAGCAAGGTCTCTTTAGTTGCAGAAATAAAAAACTGATATTGGGGCTTTTAAGTACACGATTTCATTACGGACACACGTCTTGAAATCACCAGACAAATTTCGCAATTGAGTTACTGTCTGCAAGTCTCTTTGGGTGTTTAAATACACCAATTGATGTCCTTTCTGTTATCACATCTTCCAATCAATATGGGCTGGCAACGAAATCTAATGTCACCATGAACTAGGCCTGGTATTGCATTAAACACTTCCTTTTTGTTTCAGTCACGTATCCTCAACAATTTCTCTACAATGCGCCAATTTTTACAAGGCACGCCAACCTTTATTGCGCGTGAAGAGTGGCGAAAACGCCCCAGGCACGTAATGACTGTTCATCCAGGAGAGCAAAATGGTTCATGCAGGAGAGCAAAATGGTGCTGAGTGATCGATAAAAAGAGCGAGTCTTAGGGATAGACAAACGTATCCTAGAATGTGTACATTTTATCTATATCTAAGTCAAATACGAGGAAACTAGAGAATTACATTCATTATTTCAAATACATCAACGTCATTATCATCATCATTATTACCATCACCCGCTTTAAGACCACTTCATGCCAAACGTCTATCTCACGTTCCGCCAGCCAACTAGGTCCTTTGTTTAGTGCTGCCGCGTTATAGCTGCAAACTTCCTAATCTTATCTACACACCTGACTTTTCATATGCCCCACGCGTGTTTGATTTCTCTGGAAATACTGTCAGTTACCCTCAATGACCTGCGGTTACCCTGCCTACGCGCGACGATACCGGCCTATGTTCATTCCTTGTATATTTCAACAACGACATTCTCAACTTTAGATAGTTCGCTGGCTTTGCTCTGCTCTCGTCCTGTCTCCAGAGATGTATACTGACAGAAAAATGCATATGCGTGAAAAATAAGTTCTTACCACCGCAGTCTTTTGAGGTTATTTCTGCACGAAGTGCAGCGTAGCCTCGTTCCATGCTAGCAAACTCCTTTTTCTCGGCGTCTGTGCAGCTGGCGTAACGATCTCTTTTGCACTCAATCTCTTCGGGGAAGCCATGTGGATCACTGTCAGTAAAGGTATAAAGAATATGCACTGTAGTTTAAATAAAACCATGAGCGCAATGAGTAAGCACCGCGCACTTTAGCAATTAGGGCAAACTTACGAAAGACACGAAAATACAAAAAATGCCAGAGCTTCGCCTTCAAGCCACTCTTTATTCTTGGTGGAAAACTTGACAGTTTATGCGAGGAATTAATGCATTGAACCTTTATTCCTTAGAAGAAGTGGCTCTCGGCCGCAGTTTGGGAAAGGGTGGGGAAAGGACTATTGGGTGTACAGCTTGTGGGGGTGCTGACACCCCCCCCTGTAAAGTTGTCTGCGCCGCGTGACGCACGTGTCTTGCCCCAAGGCTTTGTTTCGGTGGTGACCACCGCCGGGGGATAGATGGCGTTGTGTTCGCTTTGAGGAGTACCACTGTTGGTCGAGTGGTAGCGCCGGTGGTGGCCCCTGGCGGAAGGCGGGCCTTGTTGGTGTGCGAGAGTTGAGCGAGCCTCTTCTGCGCGTGGCGGCTGCCGCGAACGGTTGTCTGTAGCGTGGGTCCCCGGTGCTCGGCACCGCGGGCTTCGCGCCGGGGTCCCACGTGGAAAGTCATGCGTTGGCGACGCCGCCTTGGGTATGTGTTAGTGTGTTGGGTGTGTTAGTGTGTGTTTATCATGTATATTGTGTGTTTAGTGTGTCACTGCTTTATGTTGTTTGTATGGTAGCGTGTTAATTAAAATTGATGTAACATTCGGCGGACAATATCGTCGTCTAAATTAGTTAATAAATGTATGTATGTTGTGTGCTTTGTACCGACCGCGTCTGCTGTGTCCGTTCACTCCAAGAGCGTGGCGTGGCGAGGCGCTCGTTCGCCTCGCCGAGACCCCACACTGGCGCCCAACGTGGGGCTCTTGTAGTATCGGACGACAGTTTTTGCGGTTCAATACAGGGATTTTGTTTGAGTCGGAGTAGAGTAGGCCTAGGGGGGACTTCTTTGCTAGCGTCGGTGGTGTGCTTTGTTGAGAAGCGAGGAGATTGGTTTTGTAACGTGTTTGAATTTGTCGGCAGGTTGACTTTCTATTTATTTTTTTGCTCGCAAGTGTTGTTATTTTTTTGTTGTTGTTAGTTTTCAAAAACGTTGTTGAATTAGGACGAGAGCCATGCGGTCTGCATCCTGGGATGAGCAAGGCTTAGAGCACGTGGTTTGTAGGCCAGGCCCGAAGCGAGTGAGTACGGAAGCCTCGTGGGTGGTCCGATTTTCTGTAAATAGCTTCTTCTATATCTTTGGGCTCAGGGACCTAGGCGTGGTTGCTGTCTGGTATTGCGGCTCGACGCCGAGGCGTCGTGACACCGCCCGGGGCGGTGGACGTCGATCGCTCGGTAAGCTGCTGTATGCGGCGAGCGATAGGGCCACCTCACAGCGTGGACGTCTCCTCGCGGCTGCCTCTTCTTCGCCTAGGCTGGGTGCTGGGTGGATGCCGGTTGTTGCCGAGCGACTCATTAGGCCTAAGGCTCTGCGCAGCTGCCTGTCGCACGTGGCACAACTAGGTGGATCGTGGCGTTGAGGTGTTGCGCTCTGCTTCCCTCATTTTTTTCTTGTGAGCACGAGTTAGGAAAAGTGATTTTTGTTTTATTTTGATGGGCGTCTCGGCCGCCACCGATGTATCAGCTAGCAGTACTGACCAACGTACCACGTGGACGAAAAGCTCGAAGCTCCCTTCCCGAGGACCTGCTCGATTGTTTTCTTTCAAGTTTTTTTGTTGTTGTTATTGGTGTATTCAGCAGAAGGGATGTCATCCACCGCCGGCTGTCCTGCACATCGACAGCGTCGCTGGCCAGGAATGCGGTCGTGAGGTCGGGCGATGGAGATGCCTGGGACCTGCGCAACTGCCTGCAGTCCGGTGCCCTTGCGAGTGCTGGTCGCAACTGGAAGACGTGTCGGCGCTAGCGACAGATGGTCGCGCCGACTGCAACGTTGCTGTTGCGGGGCCGGTACTGAGGTGAAGTCTAGCCGGACACTGCAGCAGTGTCCACCAGCGGCGGTGTCGTGGTGCAAGGACATTATGGTCGTGCGATATCTTTTTTTTTTGTTAAAGCTTGTGTAGCTAATTTTTAATTTCGGGATATGGTTTGATTTAAGGTTGGGGGAATGTGGGGGTGCTGACACCCCCCCTTCCCTGTAAAGTTGTCTGCGCCGCGTGGCGCACGTGTCTCGCCCCAAGGCTTCGTTTCGGTGGTGACCACCGCCGGGCGATAGATGGCGTTGTGTTCGCTTTGAGTACCACTGTTGGTAGAGTGGTAGCGCCGGTGGTGACCCCTGGCGGAAGGCGGGCCTTGTTGGTGTGCGAGAGTTGAGCGAGCCTCTTCTGCGCGTGGCGGCTGCCGTGAACGGTTGTCTGTAGCGTGGGTCCCCGCTGCTCGGTACCGCGGGCTTCGCGCCGGCGTCCCACGTGGAAAGTCAGGCGTTGGCGACGCCGCCTTGGGTATGTGTTAGTGTGTTGGGTGTGTTAGTGTGTGTTTATCATGTTATTGTGTGTTTAGTGTGTTACTGCGTTATGTTGTTTGTTGGTAGCTTGTTAATTATTATTGATGTATCATTCGGCGGACGATATCGTCGTCTGAATTAGATAATAAATGTATGTATCTTATTTGGTTTGTACCGACCGCGTCTGCTGTGTCCGTTCACTCCAAGAGCGTGGCGTGGCGAGGCGCTCGTTCGCCTCGCCGAGACCCCACAAGCTTCAGCATAATAACCAAACATGCATTTATGTTAATTTGTTTTCAGTACTGGTTAAATATAGTCACTTTCACGTAATATGGTCGACTTCTACACCCCTCCACACAGGCCACTTATACTGGCGTCGGTCCCAAAGGATTTTTCTTCTTCATGATTTCATGGTAACACAATGCCTAAGCCTCTTATGTCATTGTGTGGCAGGTGTTACATGTGTGTTCTCCTATAGAGAAAATAACATGTTTTTTTCTTTCTCTCTTTTTTTTGTATGGTTCTCCCTCGTGAGTAGAAGATAAAAGAAATAGTAGAGAAAGGTAGACAAAGAGCTTAAATCGACAAGGAAAGACGGTTTCCTAGCCTACACAGGGGAACGATAAGAGGACATTGAAAGAGGCAGAGGAAAGAGTGAAGAAAGAAAAGTATATAGCACATTATACAGCAAAAACAGTCAGTACATGTACATCACGCTAACGTGGTACCCGACATCAGTTTCATAGCCACTTCTCAAAATTAGGCAAATCCAAACCAGGGGGTGTGAATCGACTCTCCCTGATTACTGGAAATGTGGACATCGAGGCGAAGCGCTTGCAATTGATTGTCCAGCTTCAGTACATTTCCCAAGTACGTCTGGCATGTGGGCTGCGTTGTATGCAGAGCACCTATGTATTTTATTTGCGTTAAATTCAAAAGTTACAGTAAACGAACGCTGTTATAAGCTACACCAGCATCTCTGTTAGATGACAAGCGTGGACTTACTCGCGAGCATGAGATATTTCCGAACAAATTTCGCGAGGAAAAGAACGAATGTGCGCGTACAATAAGTCGTTTTCAGCTCCCCCTTAGGCGTTACTGTAAATACATTCACGAAGGGCTCAATGCATCATAGTATTGGTTAAGCGAAAGACCTAATACGCATCATGTACAGCCGTCAGCAAGCTTACCATGAACGTTCAGCAGCATGTCCTGAAACAGTTTTGTTTGATGCTAGCACCGCGTAGCTTTGGGTTCTGTTGCCGAGGCGTTACCCGTGCACACCGGCATGCTGTCCAATACGTAGTTAGGAATACTTTAGGTTACAGTGCCTAGCGATCTAATGCTGGTTTCAGCCAAAGTTGTCAAGATCGTGTGTTGGAGCGTTCGTGTTACGCTTCTTTATCGCTATAGGTCGGCGAACTCACCCGTGAGTCGACCGACTCGAACTCACTCATACTCAAATGGAGTCATGAGTCTGGTTGAGTCCAAGTGAGTAATGATTTGGTGAGTGTGAGTCCGAGTAAATCCGGTTGAAGAAAATTTGCTTGAGCGTGAGTCCAGTGTGTCCCGCTCAGGAAAGCTTTGATGAGTCTGAGTCTGAGTGAGCGTAAAGGCCAAAATATATTTCGTGAGTGAGTTCGACTCTTTTTCGGAGCTGTGGTCCTATCTTCCTATATTCAGCATTACTACCACCTTTAACTCGATTTGCGTTTACACTCACGTTTACTCCCACGTATTTCAAAGCAGTATCGTTCATACACCGTTTCAATAAATGTTTATCACAGGCAAAAATTTTGTAAGGAAGCGGAAGTGACTTGGCATCTTTCCTTCCTGTTCTTCAAGAGAATTTATTGATAAACATACCTTTTATTGCCATATCTCTCAATAATTATGTCCTCACTAGCTTTCAACTACTGAGAACGCGTATTCTAAAGCACTATATTGAAACGAATGAAGTAGAACTTTTAGCACGTGATATAATGGACTTTAAGGACATTGACAATATCATCGAAAATGCTCATTTTCGCCCTGCAGATATATGAGTCAACCCATTAGGGCTGCCTCAGGATCACTACGAGCGTTGAGCCTAAGTATGGGTAAGTCCGATTGAGGAAAATTTTACCCGCTGCCATCGCTGGAGCCTCAGGAACCTCCTTCACAAGACACCAATAATGTCCGTCCGTCCGTCTGTCTGTCTGTCTGACTGTCCGTCTGTCTGTCTGTCTGTTTGTCTGTCTGTCTGTCTGTCTGTCTGTCTGTCTGTCTGTCTGTCTGTCTGTCTGTCTGTCTGTCTGTCTGTTCGAGTGAGACCAGCTCCGGAAAAGTTTGGTGAGCCTGAATCGAAGCTAGCCCAAAGCGCGATATAATTTTCTTAATTAAGCCTGAGTGAGCTCCTCTATTTGGTTGACTTGTTCTTGTGGGTATATTTGCTCATCTAGATACTTTGATGGTGATGGGTAGGTCTCTAAACTATACCAGATCCACGACGTGCACCATGCACATGGTGCATTTCTACACTTGCGCAAGCATTATTACATGTTATCGTGACCGCTTACATACATCTACAGGGTTGTTTTCTAAACAGCTTCAAGGATGGCTTTGGCAAAACAAGCGTTCATGAGCAATACCCGCTATTCTATAAACAATCATAATTTTTTTGTAAGAAAGCACCAACTTTGCATTATTTGTCATCCTGTGTACAAGCAACACATCTGTAAGGCATTATATGTACTTCTTTTGTATTGCGATGGATGACCAAAAATTGTGGCAGAGCCCTTTATAATAAGTTGTAAGCATTCAATAACGCACTCTTTTCGCTATTCGCGTTCTGTGACGCTTGTTTGTTGTTCCTACTTTTATACCATGCCACATTACATAAGCACGGCTTCCCGCTACACATATGTAAGGCATTATGGGCAGCTAGCGCTGTGCATGCTGACGATGAAGAATTATCCGAGTGATTTGTAATAGGTCGGAAGCATTAAACGACCTACTCATTACTTTGTTCGCATTTTGGGATGCCTGGTTGTCATTGCATCCTTCCTCTCAGCAACATCATGGATGTTAGTTATTCTTTATCCATGACTTCGTCTGTTTTAGGCCTTTTAAGACAAACGTATTATATGCCGATGTCCACCAAGGCTTAGGTTACGTAATCATGTCACAGAAATGCCTTCAAAAAAAATCCGCATGATCAGAAGACAAAGAAGAGTTTTGTCAATGAGATTAGAACCCCCGATCTCTGGATCTGCGACAAAAAATGCCGGGCACGCTATCCACTGCGCTACGGCCACATATGTTGTATGCTTTAAAAATACGCCTTTTATATCTACCACTGTGTTCTTACAGCTTTCTTGGCAAATTGCAGTCATACATCATGACCGTGGCTCTACGATTAGTTCCTTTAATGCGTAATTTCTCAGTGAACCTCCCACTCATTGCGTTTCCATGGCAGTAGTGCAATTTCATAAAATGCTTAACACACCTCAAGCGACGACCCCATTAAGTGTCGTCATCGCTCATCGCATGAATTCTTACCAAGTAGCTCTGCGAAACCCGCCGAGTTCACCTGGTTTTAACTACGCATTCCAAGCTACGGCGGTTGTATATTCCATGAAGGTCGAAATACTGTAGGCCAGTATGTTCAGATTAGGGTGCACGTTAAAGAACACCACAAGGTCTAAACTGCCGCAACCCTTCACTACGACATCTCGAAATACCATGTGGTGGTTTCAGAGCGTTAAACCGCACAAATCAATCAAGCAATCGATCTACTATGCATTCACCACGAAGTCTGGCGCCCCGAGTAATCGCAGCGTGCCAAACGGAAGACACAACGCGCACTGCGTTTCCCTCTGGTATTTTCCAACATGCGTGGGCAGGTGACCCAAGCAAGCCTTACCCCAAGTTCGGGTTTCAAGCAGTCACGCTCTTCTGGTTGTCACATCACTTACTCTGGTGCCACTCTCAGCGTTAACTACTACAGCTACCACAAGCCTCTATGCAAAAGGGGTCTGTCTCATCACTAGTGATGGACATTAGTCGTAGGAATGTTGATGTGTCACTAAGCGTCAATGTGGATAAACCCACGTTAAGTGGTTCTGTACCTGTCGAACTTCCATATACATTGCACTACCTATTTCATATCAATGTGGAGTTAACAATAAAGCATCTATGCAACACAGGTTTGTCTAATCATAAATGATGGACGTTAGTCTTAATATTGGAGAGGTGTCCCAAAGCGTCAATATGGATGCACCAACGTTAAGTAGTACTATATATACCTGCCCAAGATGAATAGACATCATGCCAGTTCTCCTATATGAATATAAACATTTAAATACTTCTGTAGAGACACGGTTTGCTTTCGTATTTTACCGATTCCTTGAACGCGGGGATTAACAATATTTTTTTTTCGAACGATGTTCAAGCACTAGCGTGGCCTAGTGGTGGAATGCTCAGCTACTACGCAAAAGACCGGGGTTCGAATCCGCTTCTGTTCTAAATTTTTTTGACGCTATTGTGGTTGCGGACACCAGCGGCAGAGGTGCTCGACAACTACCACGCCAAAATCGGTGATGTGGTCTCATCCTAGCTTTTGTTCGTACCGCCACCTCATTGTTGGAAATGGTACAAACCTTACTTCAGCCTTTGAATATTTTTTTGTATTTTTACGTGGCCCCGCCGCGGTGGTCTATTGGCTAAGATACTCGGCTGCTGACCCACAGGTCGCGGGATCAAATCTCGGCTGCGGCGGCTGCATTTCTGATAGAGGCGGAAATGTTGTAGGCCCGTGTGCTCAAGTTTTGGTGCATGATAAAGAACCCCAGGTGGTCTAAATTTCCGGAGCCCTTCACTATGGTGTCTCTCATGATCATGTGGTGGTTTCGAGACGTTAAACCCCACATATCAATCAATCAATTTTTTACATGTTGTCTCATACATCCATTACTCTTTTACACTCTGCATAACTAAGAAAGTGGTTAAATCGCTAAGTGCTAATTAATGCGCATCCCGCGCACAATTTCAGCTATGTTGCTATGTACACCCGCCCGCCAAAGCTTGCGGAACGCAAACTCCACTGCAAAGGGGAATTCTTGCTGCTATTGTGCACGGCGCTACAGGTCTATTTGGCACCTAGGTCGCAAAAGGTACACTATGAGCTGGAACATTTGTTTTAAGAGATGTTCTCTAGCAAAGCGAAATGTAGTCTTCGTGAATATTACGAAACCTTTGTTGGGGGAGGGGGGTGAACCGCGTTGCTTCATTAGGATTCTGTACGCCAAGAATGAACGAAATTCTCTGAGCCGTATTAAAATATTCCCTTATTAATGAACGATGACAAAAAGAAAACTGCATGTATCTTACCTGTGGCACAAACTGCTCATATAGGAGTCTTTGTTTTCAGCACTGTCTGTGAGCGCCATCTTTCCATACTGATCTGCAAGGCCCCAGTAGCACCCCGCGATAGCCTGCTTGTCGCAGATAGCTTTGCCACCTGTACCTTGATATGCAGGAGGTAAAATAAGTAGAATGTAAGAAGCCGTAAATTTTTTCAGCTGCGAGAAACACATGGTTTACATTGTAGTTTTCATAAATTTTTCTTTCTGAACGAGACTACCACAAATTTGTCAATAAGGCATCCCTGCCGCACAGATAAATGCAAAGTATACCAAATCTGCAAGAAATAAGTACGTAACATTTAACACTGTGATCTACCTGGCCATTCACGAGTGAACTTGAAAATGTCCCTATGTGTTGAATTGCCCGAACAAAATAGGGATTAAAGAACAGACAACACACTGAGCATGAACTACTAAAGAAAGTTTATTTCCCAGAGCGTACAATTTTGTTCATAGTTGGCACTCCATTTGTCGTTCTCTCTTCTTTTAGTGCCTGTCTGCTTTCTGCGATTCTACGCTTAGGATCGCGAACCAACATACCCAACTCTCAACTATTCTGGAAATGACCCTTAGCTTGTACAAATTGCAAAGTTGACAAAGTGGCCACTTGCCACTATCGCCATATTTTCAACAGCAGTTATCGCAAAAAGGAGCCAGCCATCCCAAGTTCACTTTTTTCTGGAATGCCCAGGCAGGTGGCAATACAAAGCAATATGAATGAGACATGAATTTTATATAAAACTCCACTGCGCTGTACCTATGGATGAAAAACATATTGGACCGTGTGGTCGTTTTCCAGCATGCATCTGAGTGTGTCTTTTCATGTGTGGTTCCACATTTTTTTCTGGCTGTGGATTGGTTGCTCTCGCTGGTACAGTAGCTAGGGTACTCGGCTGGGGACCCAAAGATGGCTTGGTGACCCTGGTACCTTGGTGGTTGCATTTCGATGGAGGCGAAATGGTCAAGTCCCGTGTACTGTGCGGTGTTAGTGCACGTTAACGAACAGCATATGGTCAACATTTCCACAGCCTTCCATCATATGGTGGTTTTGGTTCTTAAAACCCAACATATCATTATTATTATTCATTATGAAATGCCTGGCTACATTTGGTTTCCACTGTGAGCCTCGAGCGTTCATATATAAGCCCAATATTTGAAATACGTCCACAATTGTTCGAATATAGCTGTGTTCGAATTTACGAGTACCACCTAGCTAACCTGCACTTCCGCGTTAGTTTTTATTGTGAACCCTCACTTCCTTGGTCGCATTTGCTGAAGTCGGTTCTAAATTAACTTAAAATACGCAAGGGTTACTGTTACAGCCATTGCCAGCCACCGCTTACTGCAACGAGGTATCTACACTTTCAGAGGGACCCTTCAAGTAGTTTTGGTGCCAAGAAGTGCTTGTTTGTTATCAGCGAAGAAATGACGATTATATTTTAATGAAAAAGTTTTCTCATCGAACGTTTCATAGTTCCATGGTGGCCTATGACTCGTAACCTTAAGAGACATGAGCTCATTGTGTCCATCACCGCGAACCACCGCCGAAAAAACGCATTAATTACGAGTCCAAGACTTATATTTAGTTCGAGTATACATAAAAAATTGTTACGACGTGGAGCTTGAAGACCCGAAACTACGATATGGCTATGAGAGACACCATGGGGGAGGGATTCAGAAATTTCGACCATATAGAAGCAACTTAATTAAAACACACAGGTTTGTAGCACTTTGCCTGGGTCCAAACGCGGCCGCAAGGCCTGGGTTTCGACACCACGACATTCAAGTCGGCAGTCACGCACTGTGACCATTATATCACCACGGCTGGTAACAGACTCAATCGAGTGCTTGCAATGCGTCCAAATCTACAGTAGCCGCCACTGTGTGCATTTGTCTTGACATCAGGTGTATACTATGCATCTGTGCAAACCGGCAGAGCATGGACAATGTGTTTGAGAACATGATAGGCTGATCAATGAATATTGAAAATATTCCCACTAATAGAAAGGTTGCCTCTACTGCCTTTTTGTCACTACGAGTCCACTTGGCGGAAGAATAAGGCCCTCTCCGTCCTCAAATATTGGCTTGAATGAATGGCTGAATAAACAACTTTGTTCGTCGCTGTTAGCAAAAAGGCGCCTTGGGCCATAAGCTTGACTTGTTTTGCATAAATGCAGCAGGATTCCACTTAACTATGTATTAATCTTCCCCAGACTTCTGAAATGCCCGCCTTCAGCGTGTCTAGAACTTCAAAGCATATATTCTACTAATGATTCATTTCACGCGTAGCCACGCCAATCAGCTTGAAATGCAGAACTGTTGGATGCCACTCCCTTAAACGTGGCTGTCCATGTGCTCAGCAAATGATGCTTGCGCCTCCAAAGCAATATGGGACCAAGAAAGACAATGCATATTGTGCTCAGGGTTTTCATGCACTCAAAAAAAAGAAAACTATTCACTTGACTCTTTCAAATGTGGAGAACTTGAAAGGGCTGGGCTACCATGTGCTGTCGTATGCTGTGACCGTTTGTTGCCGATGTCGCTTGGTGCGAAGCAGGAACTACCTACCTATAGTATAGCCAGCTCGAGCGTATTAGGTAGACGACAAGAGTGGCGATGTGGGCTTGTCGGTGAAACATTTGAAAGAAATTTATGTAGCGCGAGGCGAAAAAACGAACACAGGAAAGAATAGACTGAGCGCTCTGTCCTCTCAATCTATTCTTTCCTGTGTTTGTTTTTTCGCCTCGCGCTACATAAATTTCTTTCAAATTGGGTAGATGCTCATGCTAAAAAGAAGAATTCTTCACAATACTCTTCGGGCGCCTTGATGACGATATTAACGCAAGTCTTTTTCCTCTTATAGTTCAAGTGCAGTGATGCTGCATGTTGTTGAGCCAATTGGTCTTACAAAAATAAGCAAAGTCCTGCGCGAAGTAAACACGGATAAGGAACGTCCTCGTTCACTTCTTTGCCCACGTTTTCCTTTCTCAGTGCTTTGTTTAATGCACGGGTGACAATATTGACGCAGACAAAAGCACGTGTACCATAGACAACTGTAGCAGGATGAGCTTGTGAACGCACCAAATACAACTCTACTTCCTCCTGTTCTTCGAGCTTCTTGATGAATATACCAATTTCAAACATTACTATACTAAGGCTAGGGAGACATGACAACACGAATCCCTTATAAAAATCAGAAGAAAAAACAAGTGAAAATTAGAAATACAGAAAAAGGGGAAAAGTAAGAATAAACATAGAAAAACATAGTGGAACTATAGAGATAAAATACAGTAAAGACTTGAAAAGCGAGAGTGTAAAAACAATGAGGCAGAAAGAAAAAAATTTGGCAGATCCCACATACCAGGAAATTGACGTTATGCGAAGCATGCGAAGAGAAGGTTTTTAGGGGTGAAGCTCCTTATAGCTGCACTTGTTCGTCATTTGTAGCCGTTATAGTAGTGTGTATTAGGTATAACATTTTGACCACCAAGGTGGTGCCGGCGAGAGATTTCTTCTGTGCGTTGTTGAACAATAAAAGACAGTGCTCAATGTACATGCTAATGGCTGCTAAGGGGGAATGGGAGGCAGGTGCATTTGACTTTTAGGTAACACGCACGCTGCGAATATTTTATTGTTCAACAACGTACAGAAGACGAGAAAGGGTTGCTACGTTATACTCGCTGGGCGTAACCTCCTAGTTCTTATAAAGGTTTAGCGAGCATTGGACCGCCGTGCCATCAATACAGTGAACTAGTATATACCATGAACTGGAGGAGGTTAAAGTGGGGAGTAGACACGAAGCACAAGCCGTAAGTGTGCGTGTGCCTCCTCTCGTTCAGTCCTTCGAATGCCGGCTGGATGGCGGTGCTTCTATATGAGGAATATATGATGAAAAGATGCGAGATGGTGATACTTGGAGTGTGGAATAGGTGGGCGAACGGACACACAGACAGATGGATGGACGGACGCACGAATGGCTGCACGGACAGATGGACGCATGAACGGACGCAGGAGCGGATGCGTGGACGAAAGCAGGGGCGGACGCACAGATGAACGTGCGGACGCACGAACAGACGCACGCATGAATGGGCGGATGGACGTACGGGCGGCCACACAGACGCACACATGGATGGATTGAAGCAAGGACAAATGGACGGACGGATGCTTCGCCCCACTATCCATCATTCACTCCGTGGATATGCTGCCATTTTTTTAGGGGCGAAGCTCCTTAGGGCGTGGGCTGTGCGTCCCCTGTAGCCTGTATGTAGCCACCTCTAGTTTAGTTCTTGCAGTGTTCACTAGATGGCAGTACCGTCTCCTGTATGTCGCCTCCTCTCGTTTAGTTCTTGCAGTGTTCACTAGATGGCGGCACCGTCTCCTGCATGTAGCCACCTCTCGTTTAGTTCTTTCAGTGCTCACTAGATAGCGGGACTTGTAGCTAATGATGAAAAGATGCAAGATGTTATAAACTAGACGGCGGTACTTGTAGCTGATGATGAAAGATGCGAGATGTTATAAAATAGGAAAGATGTCACATATGGCACGTGTCATTGGTGGAAGGCAATCGTTCGATTTATTGCGGCGACGTAGGCTAGGGGGAGCATTGTAATAAAATCGAGTAGGCAAAATGTACGGAAGATTCATGGTTTACCAGGTTTTCCTCCAGAGCTTCGCCCACTCATCATCATTCATTTCGTGAATATGGCGGCACTTTTTTATTGAGCGACAGGTCATGGACGCTAAATATATGTACAAATGCTGCACACACAGACATATGTTGAAGAGTTGCAGATGTTTATATAACCATTTCTCAGCACTTGCGCAGCGATGCCAACTGGAACATGCGTATTAGCCACATCAGATGCTGGTATGTAGAGTTTATGCTCGAGAGGATGTTCGCCCTGGACACTGCTACATAAATAAACTGCAGCGCGTGGCAACTAATCAAAATTTACGTTAACCCAACAAGACGGCTGTATCAAAGGAGTACATAGTGGTGTTTATAAAATTGGGTAGGCAGCACTGCAAGCACTATTGACGTTTCGCGAAGATTAAAGTCTATTTCAAGTGTAGTTCGAAGGCCTGGCGGAGCTCCGTGGTA